ATATTGTCAGGCAGCGGCTCAGAATTCACCTAAGCATAAGAATACCTGCATTGATACGTATTTCAGTAAATTTATCAGTTCAAAGATAATTAAATATATTTTTAATAAAAGTTTAATAATATTTAAGACATTTTCTACTAGAGCCCCACCAGAAGTCAAATAATACCATCGTCGTAAACTTCAAATTCTGCTTTCACTTTTGTCACCAATGCAACTTAAAATTAGGGACTCCACTTGGGTCAACAACCCTGAGTTGTTATGGTGAATGCAAAACATGGTAGGTATAGTGAGAAATGGTTAGTCACTTTTAGTTAGATATAACAGTGAAAAATGCTCCATTTTCATTATGAGTTACCTGTTGACACGGTCAGGTTATAATTTTCAAAAATAATATCTCTCATATAATAACACAGTTTTATTTTTTGTTTGACTGGTGGTTTTTGAGTAGCAAGTTAGTTTTCTAGTTATCGTTTCGAAAAATTCAGCATTCAGAGATAATCTATGAAATTGAATTAATACTTATTTTACGATTTTTGAACCCAAACGTTATATTTGTTGAACCCAAAGATTATATTTGTTATGCGCATTTTTAAATAAATACATGTGACTTCATATATTTTTCCATATTTATGAATTCAACGACTTGTTTCAATTGATACCTAGATCCAAATAATAAGGATATTGAGAAAGCATTTGATTGAACAAAATATGTCTGCAAATAAAATTAATTTGTTTATCAGTCATCGTAATAAATTAACTTTTCAGTAGTAGGCAATATATATCGCCATAAAAACTATCCATCTTCTTATTTTTTTTTCATTTCGTCAAATGTAATTTTAATATTTTTTATGCAGTAGTATTAAACTAAGTAATAATCACCATGGTTTTCATAGCAATAATCAATTTATTTTCATATTATTTAATCACTTCATTTTCTTACATTAACCCAAATGAATAAAAAAAAACATTTTGAACTTCAATTCAATAAAATAAGAAACATTTTTATGGCCATATTAGCTACTACTATATTCATGACGGTTCGATTGTTCTTGAATGTTATAGAATAGAAATGAAGGGATCAACGTTTTAGTTAGTGAAAGGTATAAAAAAGGTTTTCTTATAATTGATTGTCTGTTTTCAAATCATTCTACACTGGTATATTGATAATGTCCGCTTCAACACTTACTTTCAAGAATGTTCAATTTGTGTTTCGATATATTATTGCAATGTGGTCAGCAAAACTTATTATACTACCGTCTATCGGCTGCTCAAAAAATTATTCAGGTAAATATCAAACAGTAATGGACCGATTATTGTACCTTGTGCCACACCAAATTCCATGCATTGTGTTGAACTGGATGATGAGTCTTCGGCCTGCACATAATATTTTCTGTTAGTTTGGGGGATTCAATAAGTTTCAGTGGACTGTTTCTGTACTCGATGTTTTCTATTTCTTCCAGTAATTTCCTATGACGAACATTATAGAAAGCTTTAGCAAAATCTACAGAACTACATGGGGTAGTATCGCCTTTATCTACTGCGTCGTATATTTCACTAGATAATTTCAACATATCATCGTATGTTGATTCGACCATTTAAATCTCAACATGAAGCAATTTTTCAATTATTATTGCGGTATGATTGATTGGTGATATAGGTTAGTAATTGTTGACTTTCTTTCTATCACCTGATTTGTATATCGGTTTAGAATATTTGGAAATAAGTTGGAAAGATTGGTGTGTTGATTATAAACGTAAAAAGTGATATCAAAAGATAAACATATCCAATTATTGTTTCAGGCGTGGTTTCATCGATACCAGGAGATCTGTCAGTTTTCAGATACAGTATCTTTTCGTTCAACTCGTTAGTTTGTTCAAGGAAAAATGCGTAATTGAACTACGATTGAACTACTTGTTAGAAACATCTTTCAGTTTGTCAAGTTTTTTATAATATTCGATTTTTAGGCTTGAATAGTCTTATTCAGTATATTTCTATATTTTGTAAACCGTGATATTTTATGTAGGAGATTTTTAGTATCAATTGATCTAACTAGACCGCTAGTTATCCAATATTTTCTTGATGCATACAATTCCGCTAATAAGTCATCAAAATACTGTACTATTAATTTGTATGGGATCAAATATTTTTTAAAACAGATGGAAAACAAGTCTTGGGAAATGCATATCGACTGAATGATTCGAACTAGTGGGCTAGTAGATGAATCACGGGTTGATTTTTTCAAATGGATATATTTGATTCATAAACAAAATTAGTCATCAAAAAAAAACCACAAAAGCATTACTACAAATAAATAATGTAATAAGTAAATGCTGGTAAATGAAGAAGGAGCCATAAAGGGATAAATTCCTGTGCATGTATCTCTCTTCGAGAGAGAGTCTTCAGACTTGTTTTGATTTCTGATAAAGTATTATCCTGCATGAATGACGAACTGCTTCCAAATACCAACGTTTCTCCAAACACGTTGATCTCATTAGATAATAATTGAAACTGATTTGTAATTATCTGATATTGAAACAAAGTAGTTTTTTATTTAATATATTCCATGGCAGATATTCCAGTACTACATAAGGCTTTATATAATCACCCACTAGAAATTTGATATTTAATTCATTCATTCTCGAGTTTATTCTATACTATCTGCCAAGTAACGATGCATTTAAACGGAGTGAAAAATATTTCAAACATTGGCAAATAATCGTATATAGAGACATTAAAAAACTGATCTTAGGAAAGAAGAATTATCAAGTATATTTTGAATTATTTTTCTATATACAATAATCAATGTATTCACCAATTGTCGTATCCCTTTCGACAGTCGTTTATGAAAAAAAAATTGTCTCGCATCTTTTTTTAATGGAAGATTCTGCAAACTTGATACAAAGTTAGCTCAACATACCAGTAAAAGCCTTGATGAGTGTCAAAAGTAGAAACTTTTATTATCAGTATTTGTCGAGTAAATTTTGCATTCCACTCGACATCGTATATCAGACAAAATGAATATTTGTTGTGCTTTGTATTCTATTATTGCTACTGGGTGGCAACGTCGCAATCTGAATATTTTATTCGGTTTTCAAGTTTATCGGAAGGTCGTGAAAAGAAAGGTATTAATCAATTATTGTCTATAGGTCAGAATGGATGTGTAGTATGTATGCATCTCTGTTGAATAAATCGCTATTGGGAAATGAAAATAATCAATTTCTCTCAGTCAGCAGTGTTATTGTATCTTTTGGTTAATTACGGAAAAACAGATTAGTTTTTTACAATGAGCATTATACCTATTGACCATTTGTCGTATCCCCATCGACAATCGTTCATCGAGAAAAAACAATGGTCGGGCATCATTTTTTTCAAGTGGGTGATTCTGCTGACTTGATATAAAGTTATAACACCTCTCTGTAAAAGCATTGATGAAACTCAAAAGTGGAAACTTTCGTTAAAAAAATGTTGCAACTTACTCAATATCTTTTGTTGGCCTATCTTGCTACTAGGTTCGGTTTCAAGAAAAAGGCGTTACTGTTCTGGTACTTTCAGAAATTCTTGGATGAATAGACTACCTACTGCAGATTATAAATGACCACCTGAGATGAAAAGAATGTTTACCATTGATTCTTCCCGTGATTAGTTTACAATTAGTATCCAAGGTAGGTCAGACGGAGCATTCACATTAAAATAAATGTTATAAAATGTCTGTTATGAAATATCACTGAATACGCTTTAATTAGCGTTAAGATTTATATTGGCAATGCATATGTGGGGAATATAATAAGAAAACTGATCCAGTAATTTGTTTCTTGAATACCAGATGTCTATATAAAGACAACTGATCTTTTTAACAGTTTAAAACAATTTCTATGTTCATCTGGAAACTTCAAAAGGTGAATATTTTTTTAAGTCACATTGAGGAAGGTACACACTTATCAGTATTATTCAAAGAAAGCAGTAAGTACTAAGGAGCTGTTGCAAATAAATAGGTTTAAAACTAGGTTTGAAACAAGTTTGACCCAAAATTGTTGTTTTGACTTAATAAAAAATAAAAATAAATCGACTGTATATTTGAGAATATCGCAAGTGTTTTTCCCTAAACTTGTTGATGAAGCAGCTTCTTCACAACAGCAAGAAGGGTTAAAATAAAATGAATGCCAAGACGAAAACTATTACCAGATAAATGAAAGAGAAATCAAGTTACCAACCCTAACTACCTTATCCTAATTGACTGCGGTAAAACCAGTTTAGTCCTTTTGTACTAAGTGTATGTATAATTGATCAGACCTAGTAAAAGCTACTTATTTAAATATTGAAAAAATGATTAAATTCACCTTGACTGTGACGACACTATAATTTTTCAACGAATCACGTGTTCCAATATTGTGTGATAACACCACTGCACATTCTTCATTTTCGAAATATTCGTGAAAAATCAAAATATAATTTTGGAAAAAATCATTTGTGTCTTTTTCCAATTTTTATTTAAACGAGGAACCAATCGTCAAATAAAAAATAAGACATCTTATAGCAGCTGAGAAAAAACTGAAATATTTTGAAAATGTTTTTTCAGTTAGGATTGTCTAATCCACTAACCTGTTCTATCCCCGTCACCACAAAAAAACCCATTTTGATTGTCGATCAACTTCAGGTACAATGAAATAAATTGGCGTTGATATCAATAATAAACTAAAGGAAAGTTGTATAAACTGTCAATTATGTGGCAGGTTAGTATCGAGTGAATGTTTTGTTTACAAAACATTTCCTCGTCCAGGTAAGGTTGAATGAAATGAAACTATTTGATCCGGAAATCTGCAATTGAATATTTGTAATCGAGACTCATTCGAGACGTGAAAATATTATTTTTGAAACATAAGTTCCTACTTACACAAGTCAAAGAAATAGGCGACTATCGTTTTCTTGGATGATGCAGCTAGATTTGCCACATTTGATTTGATTTGTCATGAAAGGTACACTTGGAACATTGAAAGAAAAAAAACGTGAATAAATGTATATTGAAAATTTCCATACAACAATATTTCAATCAATCAGTATTTCATTGTACTTGAAGGTAATGACGTTTGGAATGATGCGCATAATGACAAGACCGGCCCTGGAGCAGACAATCTGACCTGGCAACCTGTGCTGGGTTCTTTAACAGGTACTCACTTTAAATAATAAACCTGTCCTTCTGGGGTGCGAGCTTGTTCCCATCCAGGCGGTAAGGGGGTGTTATCTTCCGTTTTGCTAGCCACGTCGTACGATCTTTGTTTGATATGATGAACTGCAGATTGCTGCTGCCCCACGGCATATGTCTGCTGGAGAGATGCTGGGGAGCTATGTGCTCTGTGATGGGCAGTTTGTAGGGGTACGGAGTTGACGGGGGCTGCACTTGTAGCACCACCCCCGAAGGCAGAGTCGACGGAGTTCTCGCGAGAATGGTTAATGGATTTTGAACCCGTCGATGGTGGATTAAAAAACGAATCTGGAAGTTTTCGCATACTCCATGGCACTTGTAATGGTCTTTTCGAGTCTGGTTTTAAAACACTATCAAAGAGGGCCTGTAAGTCCGTTTCTGAGTCCTGGTCTACTCTGACTACTTGCTTAGCCTCGTCCTGATTTAGTGCCATTCTGATTTAAGGCACTGTTTCGACCATTTGCCACGGTGTCGTTAAATAACCACCCCGTTCACACTTGACACAAACACATCCACCAGAGAAGAGAAATAAAAACACTTATTCTAAAGTTTGTGACGTAAACCCACGAACGACAACGACTACGATGGGACTGACTGGCCCTGTTGCATTGCGTTATCCATCCAATCCTATTCGCCGACCACAATCACCGTGATTGGAGGAAGCGAGAACGGAGAGATGTTTCGTACAGGGTTGCCAAAGTGAGAAAAACTACAGTAGTTAACGATAATTTCGTAAAAATCGAAAATATGAAAATAATTATCATTTTAAAAATTAATGTTATAGTTGATGGAAAACGGTGTCCTTCGTATATTTTAATTTAACATGTGCCCAATAACCCAAGAAAATTAATCAAAAATACATACAAGGGCTCCAGAAATTACACAAGAAATTACACATACTTAATTGAAGTGCAACTAATCGCAGTCGTTTGTATGTGCGTCTGTATGCACTATTATCAATACATATAATAAAACACTCAACATTTACTTGGAAAAAAAAAATTAAAATACGGTTCAGATGATTTGACTGAAACTTTGATTAACTATACATTTATAGTTTGAAAATCGCTGAACTTGAAGCTGAACTATCAAACAGAGCACATGCATATGGCAAGTGGGATTAATATTCCGGAGAGATGAATTATGACATGCTCAAGATTGCCCCTTTCCTCTCATGCAGACCTACGACTTTGTAGGTACGTGTGGCAGATAACCCAACGGAAAAACAACAACTAACCCAGCTAATGCCGCGCAGAGAGTTGAAGTAAAACCATCAGGTACCTGTGCAACGTCTTCGATTTGGAAGATTAGTTACAAGTTATTTCTCACTCTGAAAAGCATACATTAATTTCGTTTGGTCGATACGACCAACCGATAGAAAGGTTTTTGGGTGCTTGCCCCAGGCATGGTCTCTTCTGAACGGTGTGAACCGTCTGAGTATCACGACCAAACACATATAATTCCAGCTAGTCATGAAATTTTTCTGCAGTTGATTCAGTGAGATGTCCATTGCGCCACCTGCAGACAGAGCCAGGAAACAACTCCACAAAAATACTCCAGGATGGGAGTCGGAATAATGATTAATATTCCGGAGAGGTGCATTATGACATGCTCATGCATAATGACATGTTTGTGGAGTTTTTTCCTGGCTCTGTCTGCAGGTGGCGCACTGAACATCCACAATCAACTGCAGAAAGATTTCATGACTAGCTGGCATTATATTTGTTTGGTCGTGATACTCAGGCGGTGCACACCGTTCTGAAGATACAATGCCTGGTACTGATGATGGGGCAAGCACCTCGAAACCGGTTAATCGGTTGGTCGTATCGACCAAACGAAAATAATTTCTGCTTTTCATAGCAGAAATAACTTGCGACGAATCTTCCAAATCGAAGACGTTGCACAGGTGCCTGAAGATTTTACTTCAACTCTCTGCGCGGCATTAGCTGGGTTAGTTGTTGTTTTTCCGTTGGGTATCTGCCACATGTACCTACAAAGTAGTAGGTCTGCAGGTCATAATGCAACTCTCCGGAATATTAATCATTTTTCCGACTCCCGCTTCGGAGTATGTTTGTGGAGTTGTTTCCTGGCTCTGTTTGCAGGTGGCGCAGTGGACATTCCACTGAATCAACTGCAGAAAAATGTCTAGCTTTGTCCCTTTGACAAACATCAATTGAAAGGGTAAGGGAGCCAGGCTCCAACCTGAACGAAACCAGGACGAATTTCCACTGTTTGGTCGTGGAAGTTCGAGTCGAGCATTCGTATCGATCAGACGTATTGAGACGAAAGTGAATAGTACTGAACTAAGTTCTACTGTGAACAATACTGACTACTTTGGAGGAAAATCAGAGTCCTTATCAGTTCAACTCGTGTGCGAAGCACACAAACTAATCTTTATTTTACAGATACAAATTTCTTGTACCATTGAAAAATGGATAAAAAAATGGAGGAACTGGCCGAAGAAAACCGCCAACTCTGGGAAGTGAACAGAGGATACGAGAAGGACATTACCAAACTGATGGATGAACTTGAAAGCATGAAAGCAAGGATATTGGAACTGGAGAAAGGAGAGGAAGAGATAGACAGTGAAACAACTAGGAAGGAAAGCAAAAAAAAACCACTTCCCGAAAAAGGGAGAAACAAAGCCAACGAAGATACACTCCTTGAAGAAGGAATCCAAAAATGAAAAGTAAGTGACAAAAAACACCATGAAGAAGTGAATAAATAATAAAGTGAACTCACGAACCTGCGAAAGGCCACGTGGCCCAGCGGAGAGCTTAGAATCCGATTCAGAAGACGGATTCAAAAAGTTGAGAACAAGCCAAACCGCCGCACTAGACGACGCCTCGCGCAAGAAGCAGCCGCGAAAAAAGCAGGCGAACAAAAGATGGAAACGGGCACGATAGAACCTGAAAATGAATGAATTATACATTATTACAGCATGATACATGAAGGATCGTTCATAGATAGTGCTGTTATGATTCGGAATGTCAAAATATTATTGTTAAATCTAAGGTTCCTTGAATGTATCTGATGTCTGGGAAGGAGTTTATTTACCAAATAAATGGGTTGTTGTTTTTTTATCAGATTGTGAATGAAACAAACGAAATGCAATTCTCTTCTATTCTGCATTTTTAACCAATTTAATTAAGTTATTGTAATCTAATGCAGGCGTTCTGTACTTTCTGAATTGTTGCAGAAGTTATGGAATCGATACAAGGGCCATAGACGACATCGCAATAATTAAACTTAGATAGAATCAGTACGTTTGAAAGGGTAATTTTGAGAGACCTACTACGATAGTGTCTGTTTGAATACTGATGTTTCAGAGTACCGTACGACCTTTGAATGAGAGTATCGACTTGATGAACACATCTGAGGTAGTAGTCTATATGAAGTCCTAAACATTTTATTTTGTCAGTCATTTCCACTGAATGTCCATCAATATAGAAATCGATATTATCTATGGCCCTTCCACGATCTTTGGATTTTCCAAAAATTATTAAAAGTCTTTTACTAGGATTAAGGTTTAGACAGTGTAGCATTATTGAGCGATGTTTCGTGATCAATAAGCTGATTTACTTTATCGGAGTAGTACAAGTTAGTGTCGTCTGAATGTTGAATAACTTAAGAACCTTTGAGAAGTCAGATGTGTAGATAATAAAGAGTAGCGGGGCGAGAATTGAACCTTGCGGGGCTCCATGACACACACTCATATTATCAGACTGACTACCCTTTATTACAACACGTTGCTTTCTATTTTTTTTAATGAACTAATAAAGTGACATGCCTCCATACTGAAACCAAAACAACCAAGTTTAGCGCACATCAGATTGTGATTCATGGTGTCGAAAGCCTTACTGTAATTGAGAGACAAGAAAAGAGTGACCTTTTCATTATCGGTGGCTGAAAAAATATCGTCAGTCATTTTCAACAGAGCACTTGATGTACTGTAATTTTTCCGAAAACCAGATTGGTGTTCAGGCAGGATGTCATTATCAGAGACATAAGAGTAGGTATATCTGACTATAGGTTGCCTTTTCTACAATTTTTAATATTGCCGGTACTATACTTATGGGCCTCAAATCATTTGGTGTCAAAGGTTTAGAAATTTTGTTTATAGGAAAAATAATAGATTTTTTCCATAGTTCCGGGAAAATACTAGTTTCAAGGCATTTGTTGACTAGATATGTTAGAACTGGAGTTAAGTAAGGAATATATATTTTGATCATTTTGATAGATATCTTATCCGATCCGGTAGCATCCGTTTTTAAGGACTTGACTATCATGTTAATGTCACTCATATTGATTTGATTGAATAGTTGAATTTTCAGTCGCAATTTGAGTGGCCGAAGTAATAAAGTGATTGTTCAGGAATAGCTTTTCTGTCTTTACGATTAACTATGTCAAATAAGTGTAATGTGTCTGTCCCATAGATGTTTAGCATTTTGTTGATTTTTAAAGACATTTAGGCTATTTTTTCTTTCCCTATAGCAGCTGTCACTATGTTTCTCGAACCCTTATTCCAATTATCACTCGTTTTGTACCGTTTGTATTTCGCGAAAGTTGAATCTTTTGTCTTAATCATGATCTTCAAAACGTCATTTAGCCAGGGAGCTTTAGGTTTGCTTATTCTCGTCGTTATTATGGGGACATGAACATCGAATACGTAAAGTAAATAATCATTGAAAGTTTTTACAATCGCATCTACATTTTCTAAAAGATATATATCATGGCATTTCGATGAGATCATTCAGAAAGTTATCAAAGTTCAAATATTTATTATTTCTGAAAGTACAATAAATATGTTTCATTTTAACTGATTGAAAAATTAACTCACAGAATACTAAACTATGATCGGAAATTATATTTGCAGTTGTTGTCTGTACGCTTAAAATAATTTCCGTATTGGATACAGCAATAATATCAATCACGGGCGCACTTGAATTTGTTACTCTAGTGGGTTCATCATTTACTATTATGAAACCGTAAGCTTTCAAAAAATTCTTGTTATTAGAGTTATTTAAAATATTCAAATCAATATATCCTACAAAAATCAGTTCGTCTACAGTAGGAAGTATTGCAGGTATTGTATTTCAAGCGAAGTAACGAATTCATTCACATTAGTGTGAGGGGGTCTTATACATTCCAACAACTCCTATATTTTTACCATTCAATTTAAAACTTACCCGCAATTGTTCAAGTGATGTGATAGAATCGTCAATGCATATTTTTTTCAATTTAATGTTAGATTTATAGTATATAGCTATTTCTCCTCCTCTGCCCAAACGATCCTCTCGTATCATTCCGTAACCCTGTACATCAACAATGTGCTGTGAAATATTTGGCAAAAGCCATGTTTCTGTTTTAACTATCAAATCATATGAGTTGAATGTATCAACATATCGAAGGACATTAAATTATATTCCAAGTTGATGAATTGATATTAAATTGTATTAAATTGAATATTTTCTAACAGAGAAAAAATAGAGTTCAAATATCTACTGTAGCAACAATAACTAAAAAAACAGTTATAAGTTTTCTTGTTCATCCGAGTGGAGAGCTTCTTCCATCAGTTTACATAAATCGTTAAAACTTGGCTTCACTATATTG